AGATCTCAGTGTATGGGTAAACACACGAGTGGTCAAAAGGCAACAAAGTATTCATCTCTTCCCTCACCTTACACCATTAAGATCGGTCATGAATTATCATTTACCTCCAGCAGAAACGCTGACCAACCGCGGCATTCTACGAAAGGCACAACATCCTCAGGGTGGTTGATACTTCATTCACTTGACTCCTATAAACCAAATAGTTTGTTAGTAATGGTAATTCCAAACCAATCATAAAACAGACACACACACATTTATGCCTAACGTGATATGGGATGGTTTCTTGCAGTGTTCCTACACCATGTATCATGTTAACTGTCCACCATAGTACTGGCCAGATGTACTAGTTTCTAGTTAATATTTGGATACTTTCCTGAAGATTTCTTTAGTCAGTAGGACAAGGCACTGAGAATTGACTTTAGTCCTGGGCAATGTTGTGGACTAACGTACACTTGCTGGTTGGTCAGTGAGTTATGGTTGTCCTCATATCCCTCCAGAGGTTGATCACCATCAGGCTTTATTTGGTTTTATTTATATATACAAGAGTTGTTACACTGTTGTAAAGCCACTAGCATGAATAGCATTTCAGGCAGGTCCTTAATCCTAATTTTCCCTGGAATACAACCCGCCAAATCATTTAACAACCAGGTACCCATTCACTGCTGGGTGAACAGAGGCTACAGTTAAGGATTGGCGCCCACTCAATCCTCCCCGGCCAGGATACCAACCCAGACCAAAGCACTCGTGAAGCGTCGGGCGAGTGTCTTACCACTACGCCACTGGAACTGCAATAGCTAATCCAATCCCTCCAAGTATTGAGTTAATTATGCATTTGGGTGAAACATTTTCTGCACCCGTAACGAAGGCAGCGTCCACGAGGGAACACTAAACTCTGGATTATCCCCACATGTTAATATTTAGCCGATGGCCTGGCACAGAAACCAAGTTACAGTGCCGCTCCTGTGCCAAGTAAGTCACCTACGGGCTCACCATGGCCCATGCTACATAGAACTTTTTGTTCCGAGTAGCTGAACCTAAAACAATAACAACAACAATGCGGGAACCAAAAATTAGCCAAAGCCCCTGACCTTCATAATCTATCAACAGTACAACTGTATAACAATGACACTTTGTCAACCATCATTATTATTGTTCAAGTCTCCATTAAATAAATATCAATTATTCAATCTTCTCTATTCTAAGCCCAAGTTTCCTTAGGGTGGAAAGGTACGACACACAGCAGGGTCACTCAGTGAGAAAATGTTACATATACTGTATTCTGATTAGTATTACTTTATTACAAAAGCATGATGAATCTTACAGTTGCTTCCACTCAGACTAGTTAATGGTGTTACATGCAACCTTCTCGTGTCACGGCAGAGTTGCCCGAGCTCACTCCACTCTTCTTCAGTATTGTAACCCAGCTAGCATTAATATTTTCAAAGACAAAAGTTGCCTGCATTGCAATACCTTCTTAACTTTACTTTTTTTTTGCAGAGATAATATTGCAGACAAATTTATATCACATACTGAAGTTAAAATTTATAAGATAAACAGAAAATTGCACATGTCAAATAAATACAAATGCTGTTCACACAAAATTGCACAAGTAAAGTTCTCATTACTTATGCTGTTTGTCACTCGCACACCTTCGGGAAACTAAAGAGACACGGGGCAAATACAGAAGGAAAATATGAAGACATGAGAATTGGGAGAGAAGCAATTATCAAAAAGAGTGCTAAACTAATATAGTTATATGGCACCAAGTTACATAATGTTCAAGAGTACCAAATATCATAATACCAATATGAGACCAGAAACACATATTGTATGATGATTAATGTCAAAGGTGTCAGATTCATTTGAGGAATATATCAAGGGATGGGACGGGGGAAAGGAATGTTGGCCAACCACTTGGACAATCGGGGATTGAACACCGACTTCCATGAAGCGAGACCGTCGCTTTACCGTCTACCCCCATGTGGCATACAGGATAAATGTGACAGGCAGAGAAGAGATGCCACTGAGTGCTCAGGACACGAGACGTGTTACAATATGCACCAACTCTCAGGTACCTATTCAGTGCTAAGTAAACAAAGTGAGCATAAGATGAACCTAAATGTTTCATATGGTATGGGAGTCAAACCACAACCCCCTTTGAGCCACTCTGCCACTGTGCTACAGGTCACCCTACATAATTATACTGCAATACATGAAGTATTATTTGTACGAGTAATACAGTACATATTACATAAATGACAGTGATATTTGGCATATAGAGCCAAACATAAAAACAAAACTTAACATGATAATGATATTTCATGACTGACCATGAACAGTGTTTGTTGACATTACAGTATAAGTAACTTATGGACTCTTGTATTGTAACACTGAAACACTACACGAAGTGTCTTTTATGGCCCATTTAACTTAACACTTATTTCGAGTGTTTCACATACACAGCCTCCAGTTGACACCAAACTACTGTACACACCTTCCTTGCTTATATCTTGAATGAACATCAAAAATACATAAAGTTAATAAAGAGAAACTTTATTGTGAGTGTCCTCACAAGAGCTCTCTACAAAATAAACCATTATCCACAATATGACTTATTACAGCATGCTACATTCCCTCCAGCACGCCACTTTCCCTCCAGCACGCCACTTTCCCTCCAGCACGCCACTTTCCCTCCAGCACGCCACTTTCCCTCCAGCACGCCACTTTCCCTCCAGCACGCCACTTTCCCTCCAGCACGCCACTTTCCCTCCAGCACGCTGTAAGTGTTCAATACTTTATGACATCTTGCAAAATACTGTACTTGCACAAATATTTGCTGGTCTTCAGTTTATAACGCCATACTAAGCATTCCCACAAGACTAACGGTTTACATCTCACAGCACATGTGCCATACAGTACACTTCTTGCACGCAGGTACACCATTTTATCCTATTCCGTATTACACCACATTTTTAAGGTTATGAATTACAATCAACTGTGGCCTTAATGATATTAGCAGTTTATAAGCCCTAAATGTAAACATGTAATTTAACCAAACCTAACCTAAAATTAACTAGACGATTAATCTAGATGGTAATACTGTGGCACTTTATGTACCAAACTCCACATTCAGCACAGGAATGTCTGACTATAAATACAAAGATATCCTGAATAAATTAACAGATTTGTTATGTCTTTAAATAAACAAATAAAACTGCTGCACTTCTCTTACATGTCGCACATCTTATTCTGAAATTGCACGGCACCAACACGATATAGTTGACATGGGGTAAAGTTGCCGGCTGCCAGACACCTGCGACTCAGAAACCTTGCGTGCCAACGGCGCTGGATAAAACAATACACAAAATTGTCAAGTGCTTAAAATATACTACCGCTATAATGATAATATTAATAATGATCAAATCCACAAGGGCCTTGACGAGAGTTTGAGTCTATGCGCTGAATGTTCCAAGATACACTCTCGTCAACTGCAACACAACACGGTAAAAGTTGCCTAGAGCGCATCTGGGAACATCCAGTGCATAAGTTGGAACCCACATCAAGGCCCTTGTGGATTTGTTCATTTGATATATCACATAATTGGGATTTCTGTGTGCAAGAATAATAATAATAATGAGAAAATCTGTAGGAGCAGTGATGAGGGTTCGAACCTATGTGGTGGGTGTTACCACGAACACGCTTCTAGTGACTAGAAGCGCGTGCGTACTTATGTTCAATCACGTTAGTATGATTACTCTGTGTAATAATAATAATAATAATAATAATAATAATAATAATAATAATAATAATAATACCAGTAATAATAATAAATTATATTAATAATACATAATGCAAATAAATAATAATAATAATAATAATAATAATAATAATAATAATAATAATAACAAAAAAAAATCTGAATAAAAATGTTGTATTCCTTTCATAGTGTTTCTGTACTTCTTACAAAAATCTTGTATTATTAATTTTTTTTATCTTCTCATACAAACGTTAAAAAGATATATTACTTAAATTCGTACGGATGCTCGCCGTTTATGGTATATTATGAACATGCAGTAATACTGTGAAATAAACAGATTTCTAACAGTAAGACAACAGAGGCCAACACTATGGCATGCCCCATAACGTCAGCCTCTGACTAATTTTCATTAAGAGTTCAGCAAGTATTAAATCTACAGATACAATTCTGATGCTATTTTATACATTAACATCTTTAATTCATATCATAGGAGGTTACATAAATCTAATACATTACTTTACATTCATCTTGGGATGCCTGTATAACCTTGATAATAAGGTTGTCAAGGTTACTGACAGGTTACTGAAAGGTTACTGACAGGTTACTGACAGGTTGCTGACAGGTTACTGACAGGTTACTGACAGGTTACTCATAGGTTACTGACAAGGTTACTGACAAGGTTACTGACAGGCTACTGACAGGTTACTGACAGGCTACTGACAGGTCACTGACAGGTTACTGACAGGTTACTGACAAGTCACTGCCAAAAAGAACAAGGTTGTTTATGTTAACAACAAGAGGCAGCTTTACCCCTTACAATGCAAGTCATTACAGCGACCATCCTGGAATTGCACACAACAAATTACAAGTTACATCTGACCTGCACTAAATTAGTTTGTCATTGCAACCAACACATTTTATCCTAGAATTGCACAGCATGAGAAAAATACACGCCACCATAATTGTATACAAAAATTCTCATTGCACCATTTTTTGCGTCTGTAAGTGTGTGTGTTTCCTTCAAGTCCCTCGAGGGCTTACTATATGAGCATGCGCTCTAACATTAACTACGGTCAAGGTGAAGGGAAAACCTAATACATGTGTAAACATAATGTTATCTTGAGAGGTTATCTTGAGATGATTTTGGGGCTTTTAGTGTCCCCGCGGCCCGGTCCTCGACCAGGCCTCCACCCCCAGGAAGCAGCCCGTGACAGCTGACTAACACCCAGGTACCTAATTTACTGCTAGATAACAGGGGCATAGGGTGAAAGAAACTCTGTCCACTGTTTCTCGCCGGCGCCTGGGATCAAACCCAGGACCACAGGATCACAAGTCCTGCGTGCTGTCCGCTCGGCCGACCGGCTCCCTACGTTAAACCAAATTTTCCGATGAAACCTTCATCCATTATCAAGATGTTGTTGAACAATTCATGTTCAAATTAGAGTTTAGATTCAAAAGAATGTGTGTACAAAAGAACATAAGGGTAATGTACAATTTTGGGTATAGGAGTTACACATAATTATGATGCCACTAATATGCAAAGCATTTCGGGCAATGTTAAACAGTATCTTGATAAACGATGTAGGTTTCATCCCAAAATTTGGTTTAATATTATATTTACATATACTAATTGGGTCTTTCCTCAGCCCGACTTTTCGAGTGTTCACAACCTCACTAAAGTGATGTACTGAATTGCCAGAAACCAACCCAACCAAGGACCTATGAATAGAAAATGGGCCATCATGTCAATTTTGCAAGCTGCTATGATTGTTAATACGAACATCAGTTTTTGACCTCCGGATTTATACGTCAAAATGCGATGTACTCCGAATATATACGTCAAAATGCGATGTACTCCGAATATATACGTCAAAATGCGATGTACTCCGAATATATACGACAAAATGCGATGTACTCCGGATTTATACGTCATAATGTGATGTACTCCGAATATATACGTCAAAATGCGATGTACTCCGGATTTATACGTCAAAATGCGATGTACTCCAAATATATACGTCAAAATGCGATGTACTCCGGATTTATACGTCAAAATGCGATGTACTCCAAATTTATATGTCAAAATGTGATGTACTCCGAATATATGTCAAAATGCGATGTACTCCGAATATATACGTCAAAATGCGATGTACTCCAAATTTATACGTCAAAATGCGATGTACTCCAAATTTATACATCAAAATGCGATGTACTATTCGTGAGAATGGGTTGCTGTCCTTCACGTTCGTTCACACAAAACAGAAGTGTAGCAAGTTTCTTCATTAACTACAGTACTGTACTGTGATTTCCTCATTACCCTTCAAATTTTACCACAAATTTGAGGCAAATTAAAAATTGAACCAGTTCACCACAAATGAAATTTGCTCGGCCAATAGAACATTGAAGGTCAGGTCATGAGCCCGGTATATGCCAGCTGTAACCTCACCACCGCTCACAATGTGGGTACACACAGGTACACACACACACTAATAAATTAATTATATCATTCTTGTACATATGTTATTTTATCCTTGAGATGCTTGGCACCAACAACACACACATATCCAACCCCTCATGGGAGCTGGTAACACTTATCCAGGCAGCCCTCAGGGGAGCTGGTAACATGTATCTAGCCCTCAGGGAAGCTGGTAACATGTATCTAGCCCTCAGGGAAGCTGGTAACATGTATCTAGCCCTCAGGGAAGCTGGTAACATGTCCCCAGCCCTCAGGGAAGCTGGTAACATGTCCCCAGCCCTCAGGGAAGCTGGTAACATGTCCCCAGCCCTCAGGGAAGCTGGTAACATGTCCCCAGCCCTCAGGGAAGCTGGTAACATGTCCCCAGCCCTCAGGGAAGCTGGTAACATGTCCCGAGCCCTCAGGGAAGCTGGTAACATGTCCCCAGCCCTCAGGGAAGCTGGTAACATGTCCCCAGCCCTCAGGAAAGCGGGTAACATGTCCCCAGCCCTCAGGGAAGCGGGTAACATGTCCCCAGCCCTCAGGGAAGCTGGTAACATGTCCCCAGCCCTCAGGAAAGCGGGTAACATGTCTCCAGCCCTCAGGGAAGCGGGTATCATGTCCCCAGCCCTCAGGGAAGCTGGTAACAGAAGTTATAGTTAGGTGGTGGTGGAGGTATCACAGGCTGCTGCTGGGGTATCGTGACCCCTTCCGCATCAAGGAGTCTCAGCTTAATCTCCATATTCAGCAGCATCTCCAGATCACGACTCGTTGCCAAACTCGGCATCCGCTGACCTACAAAGAAATTGAATTATGATACTAAATTGAAATGATGTATGGTGGTGAATGGGAGGCAGGATAATAATCCACAGCTGTATGTGAAGAGATTAAATAACATCATCAAACATGACAACAAAGAGTTGAATCATCTTGCAAGAGGAATAAATCATTTGAATTTCCCTTGCTCTTCAACTGCGAGGATATATGAAATGATATTATGCATATCGAACCAAAGAAGAGGGAAGAGAAGCAACTATCCCGTGTAGTGTACCATAAACAGACAAGAAAGAATTTAAAACAAATCAGCATGTACAGCCACTAAACAGTACCATTCAGGCTATCACACGCCATAGTGCTTCTTCATTTATCCTCAACAAGTGTTAAGGATCGCAAAACTCACGTAAAAGTGCATTGACACCATCCACCCAGTAGTTGAAGACCATCTCGTCAGGAGCAACGAAGTCAACACTATTGGTCTCGTTGACGTTGTTACTTTCCAAAATGAGGGAGAATGCCAGCTGGTATGCGTTCTTCTTGCTATAAAAGAAAAGCAGACATTCTAGTACTACTGTATAAACATCTTGATGCATACAACATCCACAGCATTATAGTACCATTCATGTCTTGATGCATATAAAATCTATTTCAATTTGAGTGCTACACACATCTTGATGCAGGTTACATCTATTTAAATTATAATACACACTTTAAACATGAATAATAAAACTACAGTATATACCTGTACAACTCCTTTGATTTGTGACTTCCGTGTTTCTTCAACTAATGCAAGACGCTGGAGAGAGCGAGCAATATCTACCCATAACTGTCAACAGTCTGCCATAACTGTCAACAGTCTGCCATAACTGTCAACAGTCTGCCATAACTGTCAACAGTCCACCATAACTGTCAACAGTCTGCCATAACTGTCAACAGTCTGCCATAACTGTCAACAGTCTGCCATAACTGTCAACAGTCCGCCATAACTGTCAACAGTCCACCATAACTGTCAACAGTCCACCATAACTGTCAACAGTCCACCATAACTGTCAACAGTCCACCATAACTGTCAACAGTCCACCATAACTGTCAACAGTCCACCATAACTGTCAACAGTCCACCATAACTGTCAACAGTCCACCATAACTGTCAACAGTCACCATAACTGTCAACAGTCACCATAACTGTCAACAGTCACCATAACTGTCAACAGTCACCATAACTGTCAACAGTCACCATAACTGGCAACAGTCTGCCATAACTGTCAACAGTCTGCCATAACTGTCAACAGTCCACCATAACTGTCAACAGTCACCATAACTGTCAACAGTCCGCCATAACTGTCAACAGTCACCATAACTGTCAACAGTCACCATAACTGTCAACAGTCACCATAACTGTCAACAGTCACCATAACTGTCAACAGTCACCATAACTGTCAACAGTCCACCATAACTGTCAACAGTCCACCATAACTGTCAACAGTCACCATAACTGTCAACAGTCACCATAACTGTCAACAGTCACCATAACTATCAACAGTCCACCATAACTGTCAACAGTCACCATAACTGTCAACAGTCCACCATAACTGTCAACAGTCACCATAACTGGCAACAGTCACCATAACTGTCAACAGTCCACCATAAATGGCAACAGTCTGCCATAACTGGCAACAGTCTGCCATAACTGGCAAGTCACCATAACTGGCAACAGTCCACCATAACTGGCAACAGTCTGCCATAACTGTCAAGTCACCATAACTGGCAACAGTCCACCATAAATGGCAACAGTCTGCCATAACTGGCAACAGTCTGCCATAACTGGCAAGTCACCATAACTGACAACAGTCCACCATAACTGGCAACAGTCTGCCATAACTGGCAAGTCACCATAACTGGCAACAGTCCACCATAACTGGCAACAGTCTGCCATAACTGTCAACAGTCCACCATATCAAATTGCAGTAGCAATTTGCAGCATTGAGACCAATTTTTCCCTTATGTATCATTGGTAGCATCTTGTAATCTTGAGGTTATCTTGAGAGGATTTTGGGGCTTAGCGTCCCCGCGGCCCGGTCCTCGACCAGGCCTCCTTTTTGTTACATAACCCCAGGAAGCAGCCCATCGCAGCTGTCTAACTCCCAGGTGCCTATTTACTGCTAGGTAAATCATCAGGGCATCAGGGTGAAAGAAACATTTTGCCCAATTGACTCCACCTCCATCGGGGATCGAACCCGGAACCTCAGGACTACGAATCCAAAGCGCTGTCCACTCAGCTGTCAGGCACCCTAGCGTCCTGCATATATATATTTTTAGCATACTTCCTAGTACAGTACTTACATTTTTATTCAATATATGCAAGTAAACAAATACTGTACACCCAACAAAGAAATTGACAACATGCCCATGCATTCAATCCTGCACCATAATTCTATTAACTTCATTTTTTTTGTTATAAATGCAAAGTACAAACAGAAATCACAATAGCGTGATGCATCAAATTATACCATGTCGTAGCTCAGTCGATTAAGGCAGCGTCTGGCATGCTCTCGGACATAGGTTTGAATCCTCGTCACGCCCATTGTGGATTTGTTCGCAAAGTACAAGTAGCACGAGCACTCTGTGTAAAGTGGACAAACAAACATAGATCACGGGACAGTCCCCATGACATAGTGGTAAGACACTCACCTGGCATTTCGCGAGCGCTTTGTCATGGGTTCGTATCCTGGCCGGGGAGGATTTACTAAGCGCCAATCCATAACTGTAGCCTCTGTTTATCCAACAGCAAAATAAGTACCTAGTTGTTAAACGATTTGGTGGGAAATCGTTTAGCGTTAAACAAATGAAACTTACATTCCCTATCAGCCAAGTTCCAACATGGAACAATCTATTCAAATTAAATAACTATAAATTTAGGAAAGAAATATATAACTCTGCTTAAATAAACCAGCGTTGAATGTAATGAAACTCCATTTTCTGGGTGAGACCCGGAGGCTCCCCGCAACTATCCAGGCTGATATGTATATTATTAAACTTTGGCATCAGTCAGTGTGAATGGAGTTCTAGGCCTACTGGGGAGCATGGGCCAGAACCTGGCCCCCCTCAGAGAAGCACGAGGAGCAATGGCTTATAGAAGTGCACATGTGTTTGAAGCATTGCATTTCTGCCATCGACCGGGCCAGACACCCAGAAAGGTCATGATCAATAATTCTTCTGCAGAACCCTTATTTCTAAAGTTCTTATCTAGATAGAATTTGAGAAAGAATTCTTTGCCAATCAATTATACAAGATATGGAATGGCGACTAAACGTTTTAGCAAACACACACACACAACCTATAAATTATGTGAGAAATCTTTAAAGAAGTCTGATAAAAAATGAGATCTAGGGGTAGTTCTAGATAGAAAACTATCACCTGAAGATCACATTAAGAACATTGTGCGAGGAGCCTATGCTACACTTTCTAACTTCAGAATTTCTTTTAAATACATGGATGGCGATATACTAAAGAAATTGTTCACGACTTTTGTAAGACCAAAGCTGGAATGTGTAGCAGTTGTGTGGTGCCCATATCTTAAGAAGCACATCAACAAACTGGAAAAGGTGCAAAGACATGCTACTAAGTGGCTCCCAGAACTGAAGGGCAAGAGCTACGAGGAGAGGTTAGAGGCATTAAATATGTCAAAACTAGAAGATAGAAGAAAAAGGGGTGATATGATCACTACACACAAAATAGTAACAAGAATTGATAAAACTGACAGGGAAGATTTCCTGAGACCTGGAACTTCAAGAACAAGAGGTCATAGATTTAAACTAAGCACAGATGCCGAAGAAATATAAGAAAATTCACTTTCGCAGAGTGGTAGACGGTTGGAACAACTTAGGTGAAAAGGTGGTGGAGGCCAAGACCGTCAGTAGTTTCAAAGCGTTATATGACAAAGAGTGTTGGGAAGACAGGACACCACGAGCGTAGCTCTCATCCTGTAACTACACTTAGGTAATTACACTTAGGTAATTACACACAATCCTGCAACAATCTCATCTGACTCCTCAACACACAAACATGGCTAATTCGGACACAAAGGTACAGTACTCCAAGTGTCAACCTTGCAGAGTAATCATTACATATTTGACACATACATAAGGGAAGGACCTTTGACAAGCCGCCAGCTACCGTCCACATCGAAGCCACTTGTGTTGGTGGTATTCAGGTAAATTCAGGTAAACATACCCAGTTTTATCCTTCATGTGAGGACATTCCTTGCCAGTTACAATGCTCTTTATATCCACGATGCTGATTTTCTTGCCCAGTTCATCTATCGACGGCACGGCCTTCTCGTCGCAGTCATCATAGTGGAAGAACTTGTGGTTAGGAGACAGTCGGCAGTACCGAAATTTGTCCTTGGCTCTCTGGAAAAATTCAAAGCTTTTAAAAACTAACAAAAGATCTCTAGTTAGAGAATCTAACAATACATCACAACCATAATAATAGACAATGTCTAACAATAGATGATCACAAACATTGTGAGAAGTGTATACTATGGTTTCCAACTTCAGAATCGTATTTAAATACTGTATATAGAACGTGAAATATTAAAGAAAATTTTCACAACTTTTGTGAGAGCAAAATATGAATATGCAGTGGTTGTGTGGTGGCCGTATCTCAAGAAACACATCAGAAAACTGGAAGAGGTGCAAAGACATGCAACTAAATGGTTTCTGGAACTGAAAAGCAAAGGCTACGAGGAGAGGCTAGAGGTGTTAAATATCCCAAACCTAGAAGATAGAAGAGGCAATATGATCACTACATACAAAATAGTAAAAAGAATCAATGAAATTGATAAGAGGAATTGTTTAAACCTGTAACTTCAAGACCAAGCGGTCATACTGTATATTCAAGCTAAGGAAATAAAGCTGCCAACAAAAAATATTAGAAAGCTCTCGTTTGCAAACAGTTGTAGACAGAACAAGTTAAGTGAGGTGGTGGAGGCCAAAACCATCAGTAGTTTCAAAGCGTTATACGACAAAGAGTACTGGGAAGACGGACCACGAGTGTAGCTCTCATCCTGTAACTACACTTAGGTAATTACACCCCACAGTGTGAGCCAGCAAGGTATATTAGTCACACTCACAGAGTGGGCTAGCAAGGTATATTAGTCACACTCACAGAGTGAGTTAGTAAGGTATATTAGTCACACTCACAGAGTGAGTTAGCATGGTATATTAGTCACACTCACAGAGTGAGTTAGTAAGGTATATTAGTCACACTCACAGAGTGAGTTAGCATGGTATATTAGTCACACTCACAGAGTGAGTTAGCATGGTATTAGTCACACTCACAAAGTTAAGAAGGTATATATCCCACAGTCGGCTGGATGTCCATGAAGCAGGCTGGGGTACACATGACACGCTGGTGAACATATAGCATATGGGGCTCTAAAGATAAAGTCTGGTGCCAAACAAAGAGACTCGACATGCACACCACTCACCACACCACGGGCAGACTTGAACCGAGTCCCCTCCACCAGGAATCTGAGGCGGTGCTGCTGGATTAGCTCCAAGATCTCCGGCTCTAACTGTCTCCGCAATTCTCTACAAAGAGGGAAAGCAGATACACATGAATATGCAGAGCCACAATATGAATAGCTTAAAACTTATTTAATGTTTGTCTCTCTCCTACCTCATACCTCCTACTTAAACAAGGGGAGCCGGTCGGCCGAGCGGACAGCACGCTGGACTTGTGATCCTGTAGTCCCGGGTTCGATCCCGGGCGCCGGCGAGAAACAATGGGCAGAGTTTCTTTCACCCTATGCCCCTATTACCTAGCAGTAAAAATAGGTACCTGGGTGTTAGTCAGCTGTCACGGGCTGCTTCCTGGGGGTGGAGGCCTGGTCGAGGACCGGGCTGCTGGGACACTAAAAGAAGCCCCGAAATCATCTCAAGATAACCTCATATCCCACCTTCCACTATCCAGCAAGACAACCCACTCATAATTCCACTCATCCCCCACTGTCCTGATGCAACAAACTCGCCCGAAGCACGAGCAGTACACTCGGCGTTCGTACGAACAACAGACTCCAGTCGCATGGGTAAGACTCACTTGATGGGCGGAGCTTGCATCTCCTGCTCCTCATTGTTGATTCTCTCCTGCTGCCAGATCTCGGCAATCTCAGCATACGTCAGATTGTTGATCTTGGTGCGGAAGTTGTCGAGGGTGGACGGCTGGTGGTTCATGGTGCGGGTGATCTGGTCTCGTACCACACTCAGCACCTTGCTGCACCAGAACACACCACAAGTTGTGAGTACTGAAGTGCCTTATTGTTGAGTTTATCTCAGACAAGTACAAGACACCTGCAGTGCATAGTATACACCTCCAGTGTCCAATATACAAGACACAGTATCCAATATACAAGACACAGTATCCAATATACAAGACACAGTATCCAATATACAAGACACAGTATCCAATATACAAGACACAGTATCCAATATACAAGACACAGTATCCAATATACAAGACACAGTATCCAATATACAAGACACAGTATCCAATATACAAGACACAGTATCCAATATACAAGATACACAGTGCACAGTATACAAGACACACAGTGTACAGTATACAAGACACAGTGTACAGTATACAAGACACAGTATACAATATACAAGACACACAGTGTACAGTATATAAGACACACAGTGTGCAGTATACAAAACACACAGTGTACAATATACAAGACACAGTGTACAGTATACAAGACAGTGTACAGTATACAAGACACAGTGTACAATATACAAGACACAGTATACAAGACACAGTGTACAATATACAAGACACAGTGTACAATATACAAGACACAGTGTACAGTATACAAGACACAGTGTACAGTATACAAGACACAGTATACAAGACACAGTGTACAATATACAAGAGACACAGTGTACAATATACAAGACACATAGTGACCCATACACAAGACACCTCGAGTGTGTAGCAAACACAGTACAACATATATGATACATATAAATCCCTTGCCTGAAATCTTCCGTGGTGGCCTTCATCTCCTTCCACGTCTTGTTGAGGAGAACGATGCAGATGGAGAAGAGCTCCTCGAAGGCATGGTCGTGTGAGAAGAACATCGGATGGAAGGTCTGGCCCTGTTCGGTTGGCACATCCCCAATCTATGGTATGCAACTGCTATTAGAAAGAACGTGAGAAGAGTATGCCCTAACTATTGTAAACAATTGGTATTATAAAAATATCAAGTGGAATGTATTGGCAGTTTGGGTGGTAAGTTGCCTAGGATAAGGTGACTTGTACATCGCTGCTCGGCCACAACCACTTAAACAAAACAAAATACCTGGCCTCAAAAATATAGTACCGTAATGAAAGGAAGTCACAAGAAATTCAAACTCTCTCCAAGGAACGTTTGATAAAGAACTATAGCAAACGGAGCATTCTAATATATATTCTAAGCCACATTAAAGACCTTCCTCGTTTGGAGTACAACAGTATGTACGAAGAGTTGCTGGCCTTTTTGTTACTTTCATTCTACTAACTGGTACCGTATTTCCCTATCGGTGAATATGGGGGAGTGAGATCTAGCTTTTTCTCTATTATGTTCCTTTTAATCTTCCTTTACTCAAACTATTAATTTCCTGCACTTTTGACATCCCTTCTTAACCCAACTCTTCATCATAATACTCTTTCTGTCTTCTCCTCTATCTTAGTCTTATTCTGTATTTCCTCCCTTCCTGCATACCTCTCTCTCCTTCCTTCCCTCTCTGCCTCCCTCCCTCACACTCTACTCTACTCTACTCTACTCTACTCTACTCTACTCTACTCTCTCTTCTCTCTCTCTCTCTCTCTCTCTCTCTCTCTCTCTCTCTCTCTCTCTCTAAATATCTTACACCATCTTTTTAACTCTTTCTATCTCACACTTTCTCCCGTTTGTCTCATTGTTGGAACATCATCGCAACATACCTGAAGGATCTCACACAGGAGTTTGGTCAGCTCAATACTGGCACGACCAAATGGACACTCATGTGAGTCCGCTCGATAGCAGTTCTCCAGCACCAGCTTAGCGTACCTGGAGGGAGATAACATTAGCTTCATTTCTCATAATACTCAACTTTACGAGAAACAAAATGACAGAACATGTACACACACTAGTTGCAAACATTTATACAAAGATGATATACTACATTTTACTTAATGTTCTCTTAATCATTAACTAAAGCAGTCTCATACATCTTCCCCCATCATTTATGTAGTCTCTAGTGGCTAGGTGAAGATACAATACGACGCATGAAAGCGGGACCAAACGCACGTGAAATGAGTGATTATGAGCAGTGCGTCAAGAGTACACTGATCCAGTGAAGAATAAATAATATACTACAGACACTCACATACTTGTAGTGACTACGTGCACTCACTGGTCAGAATGATTACGTGCGAAGAACACCATGTTGTCCAGGGCCAGCATCCCAGGTGGAATATCCATAAAGTCCTGAGCGGGATTAATATCATTGCGGAATCCAAGCTTCTTGTATTCTTTCTTATACTCGGGACGACGTGTCGTGACATCTCTGTTGGTCTGGGAACATAATAGGGAAAGTTGGTGGTGACAAAAAAAATACTTTTCAAAAGTGGTTTAATACACACATGCATTTTACAGCACAGTTTTTGAAGAAGTGGATGTACTAATTTGCCTAAATGCACACTAGACTGCCTACCCCACACTCAACTACCTATACGCACTATACTGCCAACTCACTGCTGTCAGAGCGTATACCCAGATCTTGAGGTTATCTTGAGATGATTTCGGGGCTTTAGTGTCCCCGCGGCCCGGTCCTCGACCAGGCCTCCACCCCCAGGAAGCAGCTTGTGACAGCTGACTAGGTACCTATTTTACTGGCACCCAGGCACCTATTTTACTGCTAGGTAACAGGGGCACAGGGTGAAAGAAACTCTGCCCATTGTTTCTCGCCGGCGCCCGGGATCGAACCCGGGACCACAGGATCACAAGTCCAGCGTGCTGTCCACTCGGCCGACCGGCTCCCCGTGCATGAAGCAAATTACTGGATCAGGCTACGGAGGCAGTAACACCAAAAAGTCGACCTTCCTTAATAAAGGCCAGCAGGTCTTCTTCACCAGGCTCGTCAGCCAGTTCTGATCACTCCATTTGACACTCGACGCACTACAGTGTATCATCAAGATATTACAAGACAGTGTATCCTACACTCAATATGAGTTGCCATTATTTTCTCTGGTCCATTGTATGGCAAATAGCATCTGATAAAGTCTTAATTAAGATCAGTATTGAACAAGATCATAAACAAATATGTTTACTGGAACCTATTTTTAGATATAAATGAATGACATTCTACAGACTAGAAGTTTAAAATGTAATGGCTAGATATTTATGGTAAAAGAATGGGTAAATAATGGTTTATAGACAAAATACTTAGTGGTGAGAAGCAGGAAAATAGACAAAGTGCTTTCATGTGCAGAAAACACCCAACAATTTTCACATATGAGCAAACATCAACAATACCTCAACCACTCATTATGTGCTACCATCACAACAGTCAATAAAGCCAAGAACCTCGTGTATTACTAACATCACCGTCAGATTCAAAGGCGATGCGTCGCAGCTCCTTAATCTTATCAGTGGCGTCCTGGTCGTTGGCATCCATGCTGGTGGTCATACGTTCCTCGTACTGGTTGAGCAGAAGTTGCTGCAGCATGTAGAGCTGGTGCGCCATGTCTGCTCCGATGTTGCCACTCTGTAAGCACCGATGCCAACTTGTTTATTCGTTCATGGCGACATTATTCACCACAACTCTTCACTAAGCTTCGCAAGCTACTTTTATCATGCTTGATTGGTAAAGAAGTAGATAATATAGATCTTCAAGTAAATTAATTAATTTGCTCATTAAAAAAGATTTGGAGTCAAATTGCAACAGGCAAAATTTCATTAAATTTACATTGCAACCAAAAGTCAAAAGATCAAAGTCTGCTTGTGATCAACATCAACAGGTACAAGGACTATACAACAGTGTTCATGGCTAAACTGAATTAGTAATGTAACACTCACACGAGAGAGACTGTGTGTAAAGGCACTTATCAAGAACAATGCCAAGGACCGGCTGTGAATAACGCTTCCGTCTCTTTGAAATTGCTTGCATATTTAACCCACAAAAGATGAGCAGCAATAACAGTCTGTTCATATGTACAAGTCTTACTCTTTAAACCATTACAGTGTTCCCTTTGTATCTTGCATGACACATTATAACACTTGTGTGTTGATCATTTGTGAATATCATCCTCTTGTGTTGATCGTCTGTGACTTTATCACACCCTCGTTGATTGTCTGACTTCCCCCCCCCTCCTTAGCTAATGTCCCGGTTTAATATAACATACTGTACATTAGCCCGATAAGCTCCAGGGAGCCGTAGGGGCTCCCCACAGAAAATGGGTGTGGATGTGGCACAATCAATCCATGTTGATTATCCGTGACGTTCACGGACCAAAGTGATAAGAGGATCTCAATCACTACACCTCACCTCTGTATGTATGAGAACATTGTTGATGAGGACAGTGCGGTACTGACGGCTGGACATTGTCGTTGCGTACTGCTTCCTCTTCTGGGGATCGCTCTTCTGGAGGAGTGCGTTGATCACCGCTAGCACCGATTGCTGGATTTCCACTTTCTAATGTGCCACAAAAACATCGGAGAAAAAGAGAAGCTTAGAAGTACAGTACAGAGAATTACAAAATTCTTTGGTAATTTATTGTATCTCCCACTATAATACCCAGAGCTGTAGTCTAGGTATATGTATATATGTACTGTATGTGTGAATATGTATATGACCTCTAATTTAAACATCACACACATGAGCTACTAATATAAATAGCAATTATTCTGAAATAGTAACAGTCTGAATACAACAAATTAGAATTTACAAATCATTAAAACAGATGCAAAAATTAAACAGTATAATGAACCCTTTTCTAATGAAACCATTGCGTCTGGACATCTTCTCTAGTTAATGTACAGGATTTCTGTTGTTTCACGTTAGTCGATCGTTTATTTGGCTACGAACCTGCCAAACTACAGCATATAGCAAATATAGTTGACATGACCTAGAATTAATAGAACATGTGGCTCACACAATGTTTATAGATATAATAAGAAAACTAGAATTTAAAAGTATTTGGTGAGAGTACTTTGAGAGTCTGAAGGCAGAATTAATGTGGTGAAGGAGTGTAACAATGTCGTATCACTCACCTTGTTGTTGGAGATGTGGTGAAGGAGCTTGGGCAGTGCGATCTGACTCTGCACTGTCGTAAAGTTGGCTTGGCTGTTGAGCATGATGTTCTCAAGGATGGTGAGGGAGGTGGAGAGCGTGCGCGTGTCCAGCGTTCCCTGCACGTTGATGTACGACACCATCTGCCGAGTGCAGTGCACAACGTCACATTCCCATTTTAATAAGTACACATATGTAACGAAATCCCTAAGTGTAAAACTTGACTTTCATTATGAACAAATCCACAAGGGCCGTGACGAGGATTTGAACCTGCGTCCGGGAGCATCCCAGACACTGCCTTAATCGACTGAGCTATGACAGGGTAAAAGGGTTGAAACCGAAGTTCCACTGAACTTACTGGATCCCGTAGCCTCTCCGAGGCACACACCAGGACACTTCCCGGATGCAGGTTCGAATCCACGTCACGGCCCTTGTGGATTTGTTCATTTGATGCATCACATTATTGTGATCTCTGTGTGTGTTAACTTTCATTATGTTTGATTAGTTGGCAGACAAAATAGCATATTGGAATTGGCATGTAACAAAATTAATGTGTAAAAACTATTATGAACATCTGACACCCAACCCAGACATGTGAACCCACACATCACATTCACATATGTGGGTGCCATTTCTCCAACCACATTATTGTGCCTCATCATCTGTATGTTTTGAATGTGTGTTAACAAATTATGGTAGATAAGGATATGAAGTTTGGTGGGTGTTAGAGCATTTGGCAATAATAAGCAGAGTTGCACGTGTGGTTTACACGAAGACTTAGGTCTCTGTGACATGACTTAGGTCTTGGTAACATGACTTAGGTCTCTGTGGCATGACTTAGGTCTTGGTAACATGACTTAGGTCTCTGTGACATGACTTAGGTCTCTGTGGCATGACTTAGGTCTTGGTAACATGACTTAGGTCTCTGTGGCATGACTTAGGTCTCGGTAACATGACTTAGGTCTCTGTGACATGACTTAGGTCTCGGTAACATGACTTAGGTCTCTGTGACATGACTTAGGTCTCGGTAATATGAGAGGGAGGTAGGATAATAAACCCACACTTACGTACTTGTATATTTTATATAAAGATTTGAACTACATCAAGAGTTTTGCACTCTCCTGAGTGCATTATCAAGGTCTGAGTACATAGTTAGGATGAGACTTGCATCTCGTTGAGATGCAAGTTACATCCTAACCACAATCATAATCTTATTCTAACCAAGTCTTATCCTAACCATAAGATGTAAGGATCCTGACTTAATGAAATAAGTCTCATCCTTACATCGCGTTGAGATGTAAGTTTCATCGTAAACCATATACGCAGACTGCGATAATGCATTCAGGAGAGTACAAAAGACTTGAGATAGTTTAAATCTTTACATAAAATATACAAATACACAAGTGTGGGTTTATATCCTATGTTGTTATGTCTGTGATAAAACATTCCCATTACTTATGAGAGTGGGGGGGGGGTCTTAAGGAGGGCGGGGAGGGGGTGATTTAATGAAGTCAACAAAAACACTCAAGAATGAGGAGTGTTCTGCAGTAGCAGTGCTATGGGAACACCAAGGTTGTATGGGAATGCCAAGGTCATATGAGGATACCAACGTCATAAGGGAGCAATCAGCATCCCTTAGACAATCAGAAGACAATAAACAGAAAAAGGGAGAAGAGAGAAAGAAAGAAAAGAACCTTTTTCTGTTCATTGACTTCTCCTACGCTCCCTTGCTATCCTCTTCTTATTCCTATTACTATCTCCTTCGGTGGTTATAATAGGAGCTGCCTCGTATGGGCCAATAGGCCCTCTGCAGTTCTCATTATTACTACTATTCCCTACACCTTACTTTCCTCCTCAGCTCTCTCTTGCCTATTTATTGCCTGTCTCTACCTCCTCATCACAATCGACTTGAGAATGGTCCAGGACGGACCGAAACGTCGTCGTCCCTTCAACTTCTAGTGTGTGGTCTGGTCAACATACTTCAGCCACGTTATTGTGACTCATCGCCTGCTGATGGTAGTACAATTTGTTTAGTCGGCAAAACCACCCCAGAGAAGTATTTACGCAGACAAGGGAAAAGAAGGCATCTTGTAATACAGTCAATACATTCTTACTGAATTACAAACTAACAATTGCATTCAAGAACTGAGCCCAAAACTATTAGGTTGGCAAAGGCAAAAAAAAAAAAAATTAACTCTTACACAACCAAGATCATTTATTTTGTCTTTTCTTAAAACCTGTTTCCTCAAATTTAAAACAACCATTCCTGTAGCATGCAAAACCTATATATTGTCTTGAAGAATGGAACCATTTATACAAATCCTCAATAAATAAATCCTAATTTTAGAACTGTATGCGATTAAAATATACAACTGTTTTTGTTATAGGTCGAGAGTATAACCACTTCCCCAACTGAGTCCGTGAGGTACAAATGGCTGACTAATGAACTGAAGTTTGCAGGAGAACTAACTAAATACATTGACTATGAGCAGTGGTATACTGGAGCAGTGGTACAGTATACTGGAGCAGTGGTACAGTATACTGGAGCAGTGGTACAGTATACTGGAGCAGTGGTACAGTATACTGGAGCAGTGGTACAGTATACTGGAGCAGTGGTACAGTATACTGGAGCAGTGGTACAGTATACTGGAGCAGTGGTACAGTATACTGGAGCAGTGGTACAGTATACTGGAGCAGTGGTACAGTATACTGGAGCAGTGGTACAGTATACTGGACAAGTAATCAAATGCACCCGAGTACGTCTAACCTTGCCAATGAAGGTGGGCTGGAGGTCGTCCCAAGGCATGATGCCGTGGTCCATCAGCTCCAGGAATGACAGCAGAATATTGGGCAGAAGTGGCGAGTCGTTCTTCTGCATCTCCATGCACGAGATGAGCAGACTGATCCCCTGAAAGGCAATCACATTAATACGAAGAAAAACTATTTCATTACGGCACGGCATTAGTACAGAGACAAAAGGCAAGAAGAATATGGAAAATAATGGCATTGATTCCTGGTGAGATAACAAATGATAGAGCCTATCCACCATATATTACACACTAGAGCAGGCTGGCTCTGACGTGTGGATCCCTGAGGCCCTTCCCCCGATACGCATCACAGGGTTATCTTGAGGTTATCTTGAGATGATTTCGGGGCTTTTTTAGTGTCCCCGCGGCCCGGGCCTCGCCCAGGCCTCCACCCCCAGGAAGCAGCCCGTGACAGCTGACTAACACCCAGGTACCTAATTTACTGCTAGGCTAGGGTCAGCATATTCATGTTCTAACAATGTGTCTAAGGGTGTCACTGAGGATGTGTGTTTATAGCGGTCACAGAGGACATATGTCTGAGGGAGAGGCAGGGTTTACAGAGGACGTTTGACTGTGGAGAGGGTGTCATAGAGGACATGTATTTATGGAGGGGAGGAGAAGAGGAGGAAGATAGAGATATCTGTGATGTCTATATATATAACATATAGACATTACGGACATAATAAGGAGTATTAATGGGGCCACAATGTATACTATATAAAGCCACTAACAAGCAGTGTATTTCAGGCAATCTTTCAAAATAGGCCACAACGCACCTGCTTGGCGATGAATTCGTGTGCAAAGGTGATATCCGAGCTCCTTTTGACCAGACTCTCAAGGGCTTCCTTTTTGTCATCCTGTTGGGGCCCCTTCTTCAGCTTCTGCAGGATGTCGTCAGCAGTTCGGGCAGCGGAGTACACCAGATGCAGTACAGTGCCATCCTGTAATGAGTGTACACTTTATAATATGCTGTATTTGATCATCTGTGGTGGCAATGGAGAAGCAGACATCTCTCTAGATTTGGGTTAAGGAAGAGCAGGGCAGTCTTGCAGTATTGGGTGAGGGACGGGCAAGGCAGACTTGCAGCACTGGGTAGGGGATTAGGGGAGGGCAGACCCCTCACATCATACCCACGGCAGGCTATACTCTCCCACATCATACCAAAGACAGGCTATACCCTCACATAATACCCAAGACAGGCTATACCCCCCCACATCATAATCACAATTAATGTGGTGTCCAGCACTATACAATGCACTGAATCACAGGACTTTGTCTATAACTTCCATTGAAAGATGGATAGAAATAAATTGAAACATGCACAGAAACATCACAAAGCATACTCCTCACTATGGGCATATATACTGTATATATATATACATACACCTTAGAGGCAACTTTTTACCTTTATCCTTCCTCTGTTTTTCTCAGTGACGTAATGGCAAGTTGGCTCGGTGTACTGCAGGGCGTAGAACTCTGGGTTATCAACCTTCCAGTGCGTACACAGTTCCTGGAAGAAGCCGGTGTATGAGCAGAGCTGGAGCGAATGGTGGATGAAGGGGTAGCATCCATTGGCAGAGGGAAAGGTATAGTACAAATCTAAATGTAATTTATGGATATACTTTAGTTATTTATAAACTAATATTACACCATTCACAATACACTGAATAATACACCATTGCTTCCCTCAGTTCTATACCAGGTCCTTGTTCTTGCATCTTTTTTATAAATAAATAAATAAATAAACTGTAGAGTTGTACTGGCTTAGTGCTTTCTCATCATAAGTACGTTACAGGAGAAAATAATTTTGTGCCTGAAAGAAAACTGGATGAGCCCCACACTCACACCACAATAAATGCAGCAAGAGCCTGCTGGCATCTACCCTCTAACTTGGGGAAGAAGTTTATTACAAGACACTCACCACAATAAACGCAGCAAGTGGCTGCTGGAGGCTAAACTCGCCGAGGTATGGGATGGGTTTGGTGTCCAATGTCCGCATCTCCACCGCCAGCTTCACCACATTGGCATCCCTGGCTGGAGCCATAATGGACTCCTTGCGTTCAAGTCTCGATGCAAAACTACCAGAAGTCAGATAAATTATAGAGTTTTTATTTTATACAATACTGTATTACTGTAAGTCATTATAAATAAATACTAAACCAGAATGATTACATAGCATTGTACCATATATTTTGTCATTCTATTATCCAATATCAGTAACTATGAAGACCTTAGCTACAATTACACACAAAACCTCCATTAAAGAAAATGCCTTATATAACTCACTTAGGCTACCATCTTACTGATAACAATCACGGTAACGATTGTTTCATTCCCTATAGATATTGAATTTCCTTCAAGTAGTTGCTTATTTTAATATAATAATGATTACTGACGGCTTTTTATCAGTTTTCCATTTATCTCTAAACCGCAAGCTCCCCCTCACCTTGTATGATGCTCCAGCTCCTGCTCCCTATATGCAAGGGTGGCCTGGTGCACCTCCCTAACCCACCAAACACACAGCGAAACTACGACGTTGGTACAACGTTCGAACAAGTTTTAACACCTCCTAACCAATTATAACAACCAATATAGCAAGTTGTAACAACGTTCTAATACGTCATAAATACGTTAAGCCAAGATAGAACAACTTTATTACAAGTTGTAACAAGCGGAAAATAGAGACAGTTACAGTTTGTGTTTCCAGGGAAGGCATTGTTCCTCCAGCTCTTAATCCAGGGAGCTAATAGGAGGGAAGGGGAGGGGAAGGGGGGCTGCCCTTCACAGAAATATTATACATTAAAAAAAATGAGCATCAAGTTGTAGAGATATTACTGTGCTATACTTGGTCATATGGCATGTCAGAGTTGGTTACAGTGTTTTCACCCATTTGGTGATGCTCTCGGGGGATGGGCCAGCTCCACATGTGACCGAAGATTGGCATCAATGATAACACTCCACATGTGGGGCAAAGAATGATGTCAGTAATGATACTCCCGTGTTCACTGTCCCAGATTCCCGGAAACACTGAGCTATAAGATCTTATATTAATGTGCAAAGTGACACAGTGTGGGTGTATACTCAGGTGGGGCTTTCAATTGGCTCCGATACAATGTTCAGGTAGCTAAGCACAGGTGCTTGGGTTACTGTGGTGTTTGGCCACACATTTTTACCCATAATACATTTTTATAAGTTTCCGTCCTCGTATTATTCAAAGTTTTGAAGACTATTCCTTTCCCTGAAAACAAAAAAAGTAGAATAAATAATTGCCTTATATTACTAGACGAGACTTTTGGGGCTAGTTTATGTAATGATGTAGGTCCAACCATACCTTACCTTGCGATGGGTCCGAGGATCAACATCCCCACAACTCACTGGATTGCATCCTTCTGTTCAGTAAACCAAACTTTGTTTTATGTTTCAATGTTCTGTAAGGAGAGGTGATGTGGAGAAAGATGAGGTTAGGGTTAGTATGTTTAAGTAAACAATGTATTTAGCATTATGGTACGAGCCGCAGAGTCCGTACAATCCTTTTCACTACAGTACTTTGTGTATCTATATGTAGATTTGCAGTTCTTTGTGTATCTATCCACATTGTCTTCGATTGTCTTTTTCCACAATTAGAAACTAACACCATTTATATGTTAAACTGACTGATAGCACAGTAGTCTACATTCTCAACTTAGGTTGCCCGGGTTCAATCTTTGGACAGTCATTCACATTTCTTGTTTACCGCTTCGATTCACGTAGCAGTAAACAAGCACCGAGGAGTTAGGAAATTCTTGTTGTTTGCATCCTGTGGAGGTCACAGTTGGCCTAGGAGTACCTTCACCTGATATCACTGTTCACCCGTCAGTAAATAGGTACTTGGGAGGAAGGCAACTGTTGTGATCAGCATCACGGGGACGACCAGCAGCTGGCCAAGTGGGGGAACTAAATAGGTCTAGTTCAGGCATCCTGACCCCGACAATGGGAATTATCAGGAAGAATCCTCGGCCATTTGTTCCTTCACGACCGAAGGCCAACACCCACCCTGCTACACCGCCACACCTGCTACACCGCCACACCTGCTACACCGCCACACCTGCTACACCGCCACACCTGCTACACCGCCACACCTGCTACACCGCCACACCTGCTACACACCCGCATGTATACCTGCACCAGTACTCTCTCACCAGCCTGGTAATCAGGTTTACCTTGCACCAAACCCCCAAATCCTCCCCAAAATGGGAGAATTGTGTCAATAGTGGAGGCCGCCGGCCGTGTTTACCTTCCACACTTCCTGTTGTTGTGGGTCGCTTCTTGTCCTTTATCATTGGTCGGTTGTTCTCCGAGTCTTGGCGCGCTCGCCCCACCCTCATTATTGGCGGGGACAAGAAGCCTTGCGATATATAACAAAGCCACCAACAACAAAACCAGAAAGTCACCAACCATGCCATCATCAAAGCCACAAAGACACCAACAACAAAGCCACCAAAAATAAAGCCACTAACAAAGCCACCAAAAATAAAGCCACTAACAAAGCCACTAACAAAGCCACCAACAACAATGCCACCAACAACAAAGCCACTAACAAAGCCACCAAAAACAAAGCCACTAATAACAAAGCCACCAACAACAAAGCCACCAACAAAGCCACCAAAAAACAAAGCCACCAAAAACAAAGCCACCAAAAACAAAGCCACCAACAACAAAGCCACTAACAAAGCCACCAAAAACAAAGCCACTAAAAAAGCCACCAAAAACAAAGCCACTAACAAAGCCACCACCAACAAAGTCACTAACAACAAAGCCACTAAAAAAGCCACCAACAACAAAGCCACCAACAACAAACCAACTAACAAAGCCATCAACAACAAACCAACTAACAAAGCCACCAAAAACAAAGCCACTAACAAAGCCACCACCAACAAAGTCACTAACAACAAAGCCACTAAAAAAGCCACCAACAACAAAGCCACTAACAAAGCCACCAACAACAAACCAACTAACAAAGCCACCAACAACAAAGCCACTAACAAAGTCACCAACAACAAACCAACTAACAAAGCCACCAACAACAAAACCACTAACAAAGCCACCAACAACAAACCAACTAACAAAGCCACCAACAACAAACCAACTAACAAAGCCACCAACAACAAACCAACTAGCAAAGCCACCAACAACAAACCAACTAACAAAGCCACCAACAACAAACCAACTAACAAAGCCAGCAACAACAAACCAACTAACAAAGCCACCAACAACAAACCAACTAACAAAGCCACCAACAACAAACCAACTAACAAAGCCACCACCAAGATGGTGGCTTTGGTTAGATAGCTGAGCTTGTAATCTCAGACGATATAAATGTTTCTACCTTGATGTCATCAGTCAATGTCTATAGTAATGGCTTCTTGTAGAGGCTTTAAGTCTTAAGTCTAGTCTGGTCAACATCACATCAGGGGCCCCGGTCATCACATCAGGGCCCGGTCATCACATCAGGGGCCCCGGTCATCACATCAGGGGTCCGGTCATCACATCAGGGCCCCGGTCATCACATCAGGGGTCCGGTCATCACATCAGGGGTCCGGTCATCAATTCACGGCCCCGGTCATCACATCAGGGGTCCGGTCATCACATCAGGGGTCCGGTCATCACATCAGGGCCCGGTCATCACATCAGGGGCCTCGGTCATCACATCAGGGCCCGGTCATCACATCAGGGGCCTGGTCATCACATTAGGGCCCCGGTCATCACATCAGGGGCCCGGTCATCACATCAGGGGCCCGGTCATCACATCAGGGCCCCGGTCATCACATTAGGGCCCCGGTCATCACATTAGGGCCCCGGTCATCACATCAGGGCCCCGGTCATCACATCAGGGCCCCGGTCATCACATTAGGGCCCCGGTCATCACATTAGGGGCCCGGTCATCACATTAGGGGCCTCGATCATCACATCAGGGGCCCGGTCATCACATCAAGGCCCCAGTCATCACATCAGGGGCCCGGTCATCACATCAGGGCCCCGGTCATCACATTAGGGCCCCGGTCATCACATCAGGGCCCCGGTCATCACATCAGGGGCCCGGTCATCACATTAGGGCCTCGGTCATCACATCAGGGCCCCGGTCATCACATTAGGGCCCCGGTCATCACATCAGGGCCCCGGTCATCACATCAGGGGCCCGGTCATCACATTAGGGCCCCGGTCATCACATCAGGGCCCCGGTCATCACATCAGGGCCCCGGTCATCACATCAGGGGCCCGGTCATCACATTAGGGCCCCGGTCATCACATCAGGGCCCCGGTCATCACATCAGGGGCCCGGTCATCACATCAGGGGCCCCGGTCATCACATCAGGGGCCCCGGTCATCACATCAGGGGCCCGAGAAACACCGATTATATTCAATTGAATAAAATATGGTAAATGATCTCAGTCTCAGGAACTGATGTAATTATTTTGCTCAAGATTCTTCCTGAATATTGCAAGAGGAGCTTGTTATTATATATATATATATATATATATATATATATATATACCCCGTCAACAGACAGATATATGGAAACATTAGCCTATTTTAGAGTGGATGTTAGACGCTTGGGGCTAACCTCACCCAATTTTTCCCAATAATTGCTTTTGGGTACGTGTCCAACACGGTCGGGTCAAAACTGACATACAACAATAGCTGGTCCAGTGGAGGAGAACATAGAGTGGTGGGGTAGAAAGAGACAAAGGGAAGGTGAGAGAACGAGTCATAAAATGATTCCCAGGAGCTGTGATAGAGGACGCACCAGGAAACCCGCCAACGACACATGCAAATGCCGGTGTCCCGCCAAAAACGGATTAACTTGAGTGTGGGAAGGGGGAGAGAGAGGGGGAGAGTCAGGGGTAACTGAGACGGACGCTCGGTAATGGCCGACGCGGCCACCACAAATTGAATGACGGACCTGAAATATAGCGGAAGAATTGTGGTCTTCGTAACACCTACACCCACCTCCACCGACACCTTGTATGAGGCCTGCATCCAGAACACGCAGACAATACCCCCCAACACCCAGCCTATACCACCAACACCCAGCCTACACCACCAACACCCAGCCAACACCACCAACACCCAGCTAACACCACCAACACCCAGCCTATACCACCAACACCCAGCCTACACCACCAACACCCAGCCTATACCACCAACACCCAGCCAACACCACCAACACCCAGCCTACACCACCAACACCCAGCCTATACCACCAACACCCAGCCAACACCACCAACACCCAGCCTATACCACCAACACCCAGCCAACACCACCAACACCCAGCCTACACCACCAACACCCAGCCTACACCACCAACACCCAGCCTACACCACCAACACCCAGCCTATACCACCAACACCCAGCCTACACCACCAACACCAGCCTACACCACCAACACCCAGCCTACACCACCAACACCACCAACACCCAGCCTACACCACCAACACCCAGCCTACACCACCAACACCCAGCCTAAACCACCAACACCCAGCCTACACCACCAACACCCAGCCTACACCACCAACACCACCAACACCCAGCCAACACCACCAACACCCAGCCTATACCACCAACACCACCAACACCCAGCCTATACCACCAACACCACCAACACCCAGCCTACACCACCAACACCACCAACACCCAGCCTATACCACCAACACCCAGCCTACACCACCAACACCACCAACACCCAGCCTACACCACCAACACCCAGCCTACACCACCAACACCCAGCCTACACCACCAACACCCAGCTTACACCACCAACACCCAGCCTACACCACCAACACCCAGCCTACACCACCAACACCACCAACACCCAGCCTACACCACCAACACCCAGCCTACACCACCAACACCCAGCCTACACCACCAACACCCAGCTTACACCACCAACACCCAGCCTACACCACCAACACCCAGCCTACACCACCAACACCACCAACACCCAGCCTACACCACCAACACCCAGCCTACACCACCAACACCCAGCCTACACCACCAACACCCAGCTTACGCCACCAACACCCAGCCTACACCACCAACACCCAGCCTACACCACCAACACCCAGCCTATACCACCAACACCCAGCCTACACCACCAACACCCAGCCTACACCACCAACACCACCAACACCCAGCCTACACCACCAACACCCAGCCTATACCACCAACACCACCAACACCCAGCCTATACCACCAACACCACCAACACCCAGCCTACACCACCAACACCACCAACACCCAGCCTATACCACCAACACCCAGCCTACACCACCAACACCACCAACACCCAGCCTACACCACCAACACCCAGCCTACACCACCAACACCCAGCCTACACCACCAACACCCAGCTTACACCACCAACACCCAGCCTACACCACCAACACCCAGCCTACACCACCAACACCACCAACACCCAGCCTACACCACCAACACCCAGCCTACACCACCAACACCCAGCCTACACCACCAACACCCAGCTTACACCACCAACACCCAGCCTACACCACCAACACCCAGACTACACCACCAACACCCAGCCTATACCACCAACACCCAGACTACACCACCAACACCCAGCCTATACCATTAGTTGGTCCTGTAAATGAATAAGTTAGGTTCAGCATTTGAAAGTTAACATTGTATACTGCAGACTTTAGAATTAGATTCAGCTGCGGCTGGAGTGAGCAGATGTTAAA